CCATCCCTCCACAGTGTAGCTCAACAAGGCCAGGGTGGCTCAGCAGGAGCCCCCAGGTCCTACTTGCCCTGAAAATTGCCCAGTCACCTCCCACTCCAGCCCCCACCAAGCACTATCATGGGTGGAAGGCAGCCTCATGTCACCAAAAGGCTTGCAACGATTTCCCAAATGCAAGCTTCCAGGCCAGCCCTGCCATAGCCTGCCATATTGCCCTTAGAGAAATCACTCCATAATAAGTTTTAAATATTGTAGTGCAATATGCCCCAGCTCTGGGTAAGGATTTACCTGCAGTATCTCATTTAGTCCCAACAAAAATTAGAAGGTAGGTGTTTCCATCAGCCCCTTGCTGTGTAAGAAGAAACCAGGGCTTAGAGGCACCTGCCTGAGGCAGACGCGGCACAGGGGTGGGAGCAAGGACTTGAATCCCAATCCAGTCTGTCCCAGTTCTCATGGTCTCAGCTTCCTTTTCTGTCAGGGGAAGAGGTGGGCCTAGGTGATCTCTGAGTTCCTTTATAGCTACAGAAAAGACAGGTTTGCATAAATATGCTCCACACGCATGCATCTGCTAAGGCCTGCATGGGATGGAGGCCCTGGAGGCCCCGTCCCTCACCAGGAATGCACAGCCTGTCCCTGAGGCAAGGCCCGTGACTGCGAGGGAAACCACTGCCTGGGCCTCCCAGACCCTTGCCCCTCACAGTGAGGGCCTCCCTCCATGTGGACAGAGAGGTACCACTTCCCTCACTCTCCATGGAACCCTTCCACAACCTCTCTCTGCCTGAATGATCTCTCCTTCCCTTAAGAAGCTCTTCTTCTCTTCACCTGTTCCATCCTCTCCTGCAACCCCAGATGCGACCAGCTGGTATTCAGTATTCACAGGGTCACACCCAGGAATGGAGGGACTCTCAACTTCAGCTCCCCAAACCCCCTGTCCCCTACTAAACATCCTCAGCAACGAGAGGATGACTAATTCTGTTACCCTACATCCATTCTCGGTGAATCCTCTGTATCAACCCTGTCGGTAGGTATCACGTTCCCATTTTACAAACATAGGCACTACAGCTCAAGAAGGCCCAATGAGGCCCAAGATCACACTCCCCTAAGTGGCTAGGTTGGTGGGGCACCTGGGTGACTCAGTCCGTTGAGCATCTGACTCTTGATTTTGGCTCAGGTCAGAATCCCAGGGTCATGGGACCAAGCCCTGCGTCTGGCTCCATGCTCAGGATGGGGCCTGCTTAAGATTGTCTCTCTCTCCCTATCTGTCCCTCTCCCCCCCACCCTCTTCCCCTCTCAAAATAAAAAAATTAAAAGTGTTCAGGTCAAGATTCAAACCCTGGACTACCATTTCAAGGCCCACACTTTTTGTGCACTGGACTAACTCCCTAAACACTCCATTTTATGCTTGCAAGGGCAGCTGAATTGCTAGAAACAAGAAAAACCTCAGTTCTCCATGAGCACTCCCTTCCCACCTGGATGCCTCAAACATCACTGTGGCCATGGTTCGGGGCACAGCCAGACTGCTCTCCTCCTAGCCTTAGACTCAGGGCTACCGGGACACCAGTAATCCTACTCCCAGTCACTGACCCTAACCCTAAGCCTAGTCTTTGAACTAGGCAGATCAGAGGGGAGGTTTGCCTTTACCCCAGGGCCTCTGGCATCAGAGAGTGCTAGAGGAATCCTGGCAGCTTTTTTGCCAAGAGAATCCCAGCAGGACTTTCTAAAAACCAAACAGACAGAGGAGGCCAGAGATAAAGAACACATGTTCCAGGAGGACCCAATGACAGGGGCCCAAATTCTTAGGCAGTAGATGTTAAGGATATAGTGGCAACTCAGCCCCAAAGATACAGGAGCACCCTTTTCTGAGTTCCTAGGGCCCTGATTGGGGGTATCATGGTGTAGAGAAGGGCCACAAAGACCCCATGCTCCCCACTCACAGCCTTTCCACACAGATGATGGAAGAGGCAATGCACAGTCAAATATGGGTGTGTAGAAGTGGAGAAGGGCTCCATACAGTCCTACAGGGTGGCAGCCTTATCATCCTAAAGCGCCAGTACAGATCTTGGGTCCCACAGGCCAGGCCTTCCCAGCTAGCAAGCCACAGGCAGGTGACATATGTGCCCAGATACTGACCCTACGGGGCAGCCAGACAGGGGCCCATGTTCCCCTGAGCTCCAAGATGCTCTGCTCACCCTAGTATGCCAGGCAATAATGCCACTGTCTGTGTGCCTTGGTGGGAAAAAATTAGGGAGCCCTGCTCTAAGGTTGGGTCTTCCTTCTTCCAAAATGAAACATAAGGTCTGCAGCAGGGAAGTGACCTGCCCAAAGCCCCTCAGTTAATTTGGGTCAGAGAATGTAGTGGTACCCGGGCCTCCCAGCGCCCCATCCAGCCTTCCTTCTGCTGTGTGCCCCACCCTGGCCCACTTAGTTTCTCAATGGCCTGGCCAGGGCCCTCCACCCAATTATGTGCCCAAGTTTCTCCAACAGGGCCACCCATGCACCATCTCTGCAGCTACTCTGGGTGGAAAGGGGTCAACAGGAGCAATGAGGGGGGAGCTGCCAAGACCCCGAAGGCACCCCTCCATTCTATGGGGAGTGGGCCCCAGAGCCCAGGGATCCAGGGTCATGTGGGACCCAGTTTCACCTGGGAAGTAGATAAAGAAAGCTGATTCAGTGAGCTGAAACCCAATAATTTCCTCATTTGTCTTGTCAATGTCCTTGTCCTACAGAGTATCACGCCCATCGCATAAAGATTTTCTGCTAGAAAGATGTTTAGTGTGAGTCTGGGAAGCAGACCTCTGACCTTCATCCTTCAGGGCACAAGTCAAAACTATTTCTTTGTTGGAGATAAACCCAATGACTCCCACCCATGTAGTAGTGCTCAGCTGGCAGGGTGGGGAATGGTTACATCAGGGCTGCAAGGCATCCCTACTCCATCATCACCTGCTGATGATATTCTCAACCTGCACCTGAGCCCCAAAACTGTCTCAAAAGGAGTGGCCAAAGGTGGATTTTTATCCAAAACTAACCAGGATCGGCTCTGAAGTCTCCAATTCATTCACCACCACCCCCAACCACCGCCAGGGCCCAAGGGTATATCTAGACGGTCACCCTTTGGCCAGTGCCTCCTTTCTGATGGAGTTCCAGGATTTCTCCCACCAGGTATATAGGTATCTTCCCATCTCAATCCCTTAGAGCATGTATTCTCAATGGGAGCGGAGAGTATCACCCCCAACCGAGCAAAAATCGGTTCTTGGGCAGGCAAAAAAAAAAAAAAAAAAAAAAAAAAAAAAAAAAAAAACAAAAACAAAAAAGCAGGTATTCCTTGGCACTTGCTATGAACCAAATTGTGCCCACCAAATTCATATGCTGAAGTCCTAACCACCAATGTGACTATACTTGCAAACAGAGCTTTTAGGAGGTAATTAAGGTTAAATGAGGTCATAAAGGTGAGGTGGTAGAGCCATAATAGAACTGGTGTCGTCATAAGAAAAAGAAGAGCTTTCTCTCTCTCTCTCTCTCTACCCCACTCCCTCTTTCTTACCCTACCGCCACCCCACCCTGTGAGGACACAGTGAGAAGGTGGCCATCTGCAAGCCAGGAAAGGAGCTCTCACCAGAAACCAAACCCTGCCAGCCCTTGATCTTAAACTTCCAGCCTCCAGAACTATGAGATAATAAATTTCCATTGTTTAAGCTCCCCAGTCTATGGTATTTTGTTATGGCAGCCAAAGCAGACTAAGACAGTATTTCTCTACAGAGAATTGCTTTTCTCCTTAGCGGAGCCATAATGGAAAAAGAAAGTTTGAGAAACACTCTCCTAGAGAATTCTTCATTTGAAAGGGTTTAGGGTCTTACTGGAAAGTCTTTCATTTCATAGTTTAGAGTACTGCTTCTCTACAACACTAAAGTTGTGCCCCCAAGAGGCATTTGGCAATGTCTGGAGACATTTTGGGTTGTCACGACTCAGTGGGCTGCTACTGGCATCCAAAGGGTAGAGGCAGGGACACTGCTAAATATCCTACAGTGCACAGGACAGCTCTTCCCACAGGAGAGAATTATCCAGGTCAAAATGTCAGTGGTGCTGCCATTGAGAATGGTTTAGAGCAAAAGAAACTTCAGGAGCCTTCACATTCTGCCACAAAACTTCCTAGAAACCTGAGGCCTGCAGCCTTGTCCTGTAACAGCCTGCCTGGCCACCTTTAAGAACCAGTGGTGGCTCCAGGAGGAGCTCACCCCCAGCCCCCACAGAGCAGTTCCCAAGACTGGAAGGCCCCCACCTACCAGTGCCTGAGCAGGGGCAGCTGCCCTGGGCCCACAGGTCTCCCAGAGGCCAGAAGGAACAGGCCAGGAAGAAAGAACCAACAAACTCATCGGACTCCTACCCAAGGACCATAGCAAGCAAAGCTAGAGCTTAACACAGTCCTTCTCACTTCCTGGGGGAGGCCAAGCACCAGAGAACCAGAGGCTTCACGGTGGAGTTCAAGAAGAAGACCCCTCGAGGAAGGAGAATCCCAGAGCAGAACCAATAATAGTGATACTACCACCACCAACCACAGCTAATAGTTCCTATCCAGGACCCGTGCTGTGCTGCCCAGCAGCTCGCTGAGCACTTTACAACCATCAACTCATTTGGACATCATGACAATCCAAGGTAGGTATTGTTCCACTGCACAACTGAGGAAACTGAGGCACAGAAAAGTTGAGCAACTTGACCAAAGTAGAATTCCAAAGTGGAAGAGTTGGGAATTAGAAAGAAGGACCCAGGAGGGCAAGACCAATAACAAACTAGGAGAGTGACACCAGGTTTCAGATTCAAGACCTACTGTATGGTGGGCTCGTTCCACCACTCCACACACAACCTTGGGGGTGGCTGTTATGGTTTCCTCTTTTACAGATGAGGACCCGAAGCTCAGAAGCAGTAAGGGGCTTGCCAGTGGAAGGCAGAGCCAACTGAAGGCCAGGGCACCTAGGAGGACTGGGAGGCCCCAGCAAGAGCCCACTTACCTGAGAAGATTGAAGCAAGCCTGAAGATATCTGAGAGGCGGGAGGTCACCGGCTCATAGGGTGAGGCTTCATAGAACTCTTCACCTGGAAGAGAGAACCAGTGTCAGGCACAGGCCCACCCTTCCTACAGGACTAGACGAGAGCAAGTTATGAATGAAACGGTGAGCATTTCACACAGGTAAGTTCTTCCTCACCAATTAGAGAAGTCCCCACAGCAGGTCAGTACTGCCAATACTCTCCTCTACTGACCTCCCTGCATGTCCAGCCCTTTCTAAGGCCTTCCAAATGCTTCTTGAAAGAAGGCACTGGGGAGGTGCCCATGGAAGGCCAGGTATAAATCACAGGATTTGAAGCCAAAGGCCCTCCAAAGTCATTCAGTGCAACTTCCTCATTTCACAAGCGAGGACCCTGAGGTGGGCCAGGGAGGTGAAGCAACCTGACTGAGATCACAGAGCTACTCACGACAGATCTAGACTAGACTCTGGTCCCCTGACCCTCACACCAGCATTGTCTCTCGTCACACTAGGTTGGCTCTGCCCGGGCCACGTAAGGGCAGAGAACTTCCTCTTTGCTTCCCATCATGTCACCATGATAGGGCTGAAGGTCTTCTCAGTGGAATCCTGATCCCCAGCTTGTCTGACTGACTCCCTGCCACCTGATGGCTTCTCAGACTTCTCCTCGAGGCTTCTGGGTGCATCAGAGATTCAGTGAATGGAAAAGCAAGCGAGTGACAGGAGATAAATGGCACAGGGATGCCCTGGAGACCCACCGCCTCCTCATGGGGACTCCCGCCCTTTGCCAAAACCTCGGCAGGAGAGGAAATATCCTCTTGAGACTTTACTGTGAGGAGAAATCAATGGGTAATCACTCAGACTGCGTGTTTGTGTTGAAGGGGCGGGGGAGACAGGTGATGACCCACAGCTTCACACATTGATTTCCTATCCACCCAGGGCCCAGCACCTAAAGAAGAGTACATGTGGGGTGGTATCCATGGGGGCCACCTGCAGGAAGGTGCCAGCCATCCAGAAGAGGGGACTTGGAATCTGCCTGTAAAGGGCGCATTCAGCCAGGCCCATGAGGTCACCCAGAGGCTAGCACTCCAGGCTTGTCCAGCCCTCTGCTGGTTCACAGAGAAAGGCATCTGTCTGCTATATCTGGCAGACCCCCCAAAAATGGTACAGATTCCCCAGATGTTCATTCTCTCCCTGGAGAAATGTCCTCTACCCTTCACTTTACCCTATACCCTCATGCCCTGCAACACCCAGCAAATGCGTTACACACAATGGGTGCCCAAGTGGTATCTTACTATCCAAAGGTTATTCTTTCAGGCCAGTCCCAATCCCACCTTCCCCCTGGACTGTCACAGGGCTGTACCATCTCAGCAAACTCCACTCTACCCACAGACACTGGAGAAACTCCCGGTGGTGGGGTTACCAGCCATTGCTATTTGTTAGGGCCAAATAATACAAGAGCTTTTGGTAATAAAAATGATGTTACACTAAGCCTTCTATGTACCAGCACCATTGAAAGTGCTTTAGGTGTACTAACTCATTTAATTCTCTCGTCTATGAGATAGGCACTACCCTTTGTTTTATTGATAAAGAACTGGGGTACAGAGACGTTAAGAAACTGGCCCAAGGTCACACAGCTGGTAAGTGCCAGGTTTCAAACCCAGGCAGCTGACTCCAGAGTCCAAGTACTTAAACATTATGAATACTGTCTCCAAAAGTAAAAGTGTTATTGAACCAAACTGTTCTTACACAAGTAGCGCTGCTGTTTAACTTTTTAGAGTCAGTCTTAGGCCAGCCAGACTGCTCCCCCAGACCAGGTCCTTCCCTCCCGTATCTGGCAAAGCTAGGCCCGCGGGTATGGATCAGCTAGTATGACTGACTGGGGGCGGGATGGGCGGGGGTGGAATCTCTTGGGGAAAACAGCCTCTTCCAGGACTGGCTGGAAAAGGTCCATCCTATTTAAGTCAACCCATGCTGCCTGTTCCTGTGGCAGAATTCACCAGTGGGAAATCAGAGACCTGGCCACACGGGCATCCTGGCAACCAGATTAAACTAGATCTAGGATGTCACATTCCTGGGCCATGACCTGGGAGAGGCCTTTGCTCTTCACATCTGAAGGAGCAGAATGACCTCAAACTTTAGTGCCACTTTTGGAGAAGTCAAGAAGTGGTCTCAAGTCCCCCATGCAGCCAACCAACAGTGACAGTGCCACCATGTAAGATACTGGTGGTTGTGGTGGTGTGACAGAAAGGGAAGATGAGCCCGAGACCACAGGATCTCTCCAGGGCAGCTGGAAAGGGGCCTGGATAAGGAGTCCTGGGGGGCCCTGGTCCCACCAGCCCCCCTCCCTGCACCTCAGCTTCCCCACCAAAGTGGGAGTGGGATGGAATGATCTCTAGGTCTTTGCAGTTGGGACCATCTAGGACCTGAGCAGAGGCCACAGTCCTGCCACCGCCAGCTCTGTCCACTGCTAAGGACCTCAGACTAGGCACAGCTCAGCCTCAGGTGGAGGGAGAAGAGAGGAATCGCACCCACCAGCCAGGACCAAGGAGAAGCCACAATCAAAGTCCAAACCCGCACAGATCTCTCCACTCCACAATCCCCCACCCCGCCCCAGGCCCAAGCCGGGTTATTAAGTGTTATTAAAGAATAGGGAGGAAGTGCTTACAGCCTCCCCCAGGGAGACCACTCATCCCACACCATGAATAATTAACCCTCAGGTGGATCCTGTCACTCACAGGAACATTACCTGCTGTTAAAAGGCCTCTCAGCTTTCCCTGACCAACCCTGGGCAGAAAATACCTCTGACTCCTAACAGCCAGGAATGGGGGCAGGGTAGGTTTTGAGGAAGGAGAAAAGCAGGGAGTCTACTTTTCCAGAGTTGGCCCACGGGAGGGGTCTCCTAGCCTGTATGCTTGCCAGCACAGGGACCATGGCTGAATCTGTATTCTCACCTTCTGGAGCACACAGTAGGGGCTACACAGACGTTTGCCTGGTAAGGGAACCAACAAGCCAGCTCATGCCTCCCCAGGCTGACATTCCTGGGTTGAAAGGGCCTTGAAGACCACATGGCAGGATGCAGCATAAATGCACAGAACGCACACTGCTATCATCCAAATGCCTCACTGGCTGGCTGCGATCAGGAAGGTTCTTGGTGTTCTGACACGGTGATGCCAGAGGGAGCCATTCCGGTGGCCCTCAGGTGGCCCACCTGGCTCTTCCAGCTGGCAGTTCTTCTGTCCCCTCCCCAGTGCATCCGTCCTACAAGCCCTCAACAAGCCCATCCTGCAAGCCCTCAACAAGCCCACCCCCAAGTGCCACACAGCCTCCCTTGGGTTGAGACTGAAAGCCATGGGAAAGAAAACAAGAAACTAAACAAGCCAGCTGTTGAATTAGGAACCTCAGTTTTCACGCACTACAGAGGCATCCTCCGGGTGAAGACCGCTCCTTGCCTTGCAGAGAATAAACATCACGCGCTTTGTGGCGGTGTTTCCCTCTCTGCTCACTTCTAGTTCTAGGACTCGAAGCTACTAGGAACAGGAGACCTACACATGAGGAATTACTTTGCTATTAATGGTGGTAACACTGTTCATAATTACATGCCCGGTTTACTTCCAAATTCAAGGCAGATTGGAACCATCTTGGCCACTGGTCAGGAATCCCTCATTCTCCAGCCTCACACCCGATCCCAGTTTCCTCCTTCCCTCCAGCACCCTGGTCCTCCATCCGAGGCTAATCAAGGGCACTGTTCCACAGTGCAGCCCTCTCTCTTCACCTCGACATCCCTATCACTCCCAGTCTACCTTAGAATTCAAGCTGCTCCACCCTCTCACCTCTTACAAAAGAAGTCATCCTTTGTTCTCCTCTCCTCTTCACACCAAAGTTCTAGAAGACATCCACAGTCACCACTCCCAGCCCCCAGCTCCCATTCACTCCCTAACCAGGCTTCTGCTCCCAGCGACCACCTACAATGCTCACCCCAAAGGCATGAGGGACATGTCCTAGAGACTGTGGACCCTCTCTCCTCCCCAGGTTTCTTGATGTACCTCCCACCTCTCTCCCAACACCTCCCCCCAACCTCTGCAGGTCCCCCTCCCTCCCCTGCTGGCACATCTTTAAATGCTGGGGGTCCTTAGGGCTCTGTCCCTGCCCTCCTCTCAGTGTGTGCACCCCACTCCCATGGCCCCAGTCACACCTACAGGCTAATGGTGGCTCCTCAATCTCCATGTCCAGTGCCACTTCCCCCCTGGACTCCAGCTGTGTGCAGGGCATGGCCAGTGAGAGCCATGTGCCCCAAAATAAAGGAATCATCTCCCTGCTCTCCCCCCTTGGCTGCTTCTTATGAACCAACCCAGTTGCCCAAAAGAGAAAACTGCCCTCCTCGAGTCCTCTCTCTTCACCAAGACCTGTTGATTCCACCTCCTAAATAGCTCTTGAACCCTCCTCCCTCTTTCCTGCCACTGTCCTTGGCCAGCTGGCCAAGCTGCTGCCCTCCAGGTCCCACATCCCTCCCCTCTCCTCACCCCATCCCCACTTCCAACCCCCCACCTTACTACACTGAGTCACTTGCAGACCGGCAACTCCCTTCTGGGAGTCTTTGCCCAAGCTCCCCTCCACTTCCCACACTCTCCCCACATTCCTCCCTCCCCCCCACTGTGTAACTGCAGCTCACTCCTTAGTCTCAGATCAAAGGCTGCCTCTTCCAGGAAGACTCTGTAGATTTCATAAGAGGCTGCCTTGGGCTACCACAGCACCAGTGCTTTCTGACAGCACTCACACCACCAAGTGACAGAAAGCCCCTCACTTATCTACATCCCCTCACAAACTCTGAGCTCCAAGAAGCCAGAGGCTACCCCAGCTTGTTCTCCACTGTTGCACAGGCCTGGCAGATGAGAACCTCTCAATAAACAGTTGTTGAATCAAGAAATGAACGTCTAACCAAGGCGGCCAATCCCCCTGCACTGTACACAAATCCCCCACACTGTAGTCCGGAGGGGAGGATGGGGGTGTGTGGAGTGGGTTGTTAGGGGAGGGAGCTGGTAAGGTGCCACCTTGGGACCTGAAGCGGCCTGCTGCCCACACACTGCCCCAAGCCCTATAGAAGGTGCCTAGGCCAGCCCTGCAGTCAGGAAGCCACCTGAAGAGCAGGTGTCCTGGCAGCAGGAAGAACAGAAATGGGACTGCCCTTCGCTGAGCACCCAGGGCTTCGGGGAGTCCCAGGGACTGGTTTGCTTGGAAGCACAGCTCTGCATGCACAGGACCCACCCTCCCTTCTCCATCTGCCTGGGTACCCCAGCCTTCCCTTCTCTGTTACCACTTCACTCGTCCGTCAGTCCATCCATCCTCTCCCGACCCCTACCCTCTCCTTTCTCCAGCCTTGTTCTTCTCCCACCACCTGGCCCTGTCTCCTTCCCAGCTGTCACTCTCCCTCCTCCTCCATGTCTCCAGGCTAACTCCGACAACCCCTACTTCCTCTGCGTTCTAGACCCCCGTGGCAGGGGGCGACAGAGAGCTTGCCAGTTCCCTCCACTACCAAGTCCTACCCTGAACCTGCCCCACCTCCCCGCCCTCCGCCCTGCGCAGCCCTCCC